ATAGATTCAAAGAATGGGAAGTCATTGTTACTACTTTGTTACTATGCTCGTTTTAGAGTCTGTAGACTAGTAGTAGTAGTAGTAGTAGTATTTATGGCCGATGTAAATTCCGGTCCAACGAACATCATTATGGGCAAATGGGCATTCGCGATTTTTTAATTAGTGTTGCGACAAATAAATTACGGTTTGCATTAGAGTTGCGAAAGTATAACGATCGCGTTTGCTTTAGTGTTGCGTTTTATAAGATATCGCGATTTTTTTTAATAATTTTAATTTTAATAAAATTTTTTTTTGAAAGTAGTATTAAAAAATTTTACGTTTATTTTATTTCGAGTTTTAATTATAGAGATATTAACTTTCAATTTATTTGCATTTGTATTAAAAGTAGTGTTTTGAAAGTAGTGTTGCGATAAAAAATGATCGCGTTTTTGAAAGTAGAATTCCGTTACAAAATGCCCATGATTCTTCCACTAATATTGTGGAAATGGTCCTGTTTTGGGATCATAAAATGCAGTTGTAATAACTGCAAAAATGTGGTCCTGTTTTTGGATCATAAAGTGGAAAACGGGCAATCGCGATTTTTTAATTAGTGTTGCGATAAATAAATTACGGTTTGCATTAGAGTTGCGAATATATAACGATCGCGTTTGCTTTAATGTTGCGTTTTATGAGACATCGCGATTTTTTTAATAATTTTAATTTTAACAATATAATTTTTTTTAAAAGTAGTATTAAAAAATTTTATGTTTATTTTATTTCGAGTTTTAATTTTAGAAATATTAATTATAGAAATATTATAGAGATAACATTCAATTCATTTGCATTTACTAAATTCATTTTAAGAATTAGTGTTGCGTCAAAAAATAATCGCGTTTTTGAAAGTAGTGTTGCGATAAAAAATAATCGCGTTTTTAAAAGTAGAGTTGCGTTTATAAAATGCCCATGATTTTTCCACTAATATTGTGGAAATGATCCTGTTTTTTTGGATCACAAGTGTGGTCCTTATAGCCTTTTTTGGCTATTATTTTTTTTCAGCGCCCCTAAATATTAGCATTTGTTAATGAAAATATGGTAAAAAGTTTATTCACTTAAACTTTAAACTCTCGTATTATTATTTAAAATCGTTTGCATTATACAGTAAGAATATTAATTTATTTATTATTATAAATTAGTAATTTATTTAATATTATAAATTAATAATTTATTTAATATTATAAATTAATATTCTTACTACGATATATAAGTACAAACACATTTCGAATGTGTAATTTCGAATAAGTAATGACAAATAATTATTCGTTGTCAAAATTAAAATTAAGTTTTTCTCTACAATTTCGGAAAAATTGAATAAAATTTGTCAGTATTTTTGCATTTTTAATTATGATTGAATAAATATTCGGAATTCCTGTATGAAATATCAAAATAAAAATTTTATATATTCGATACAAATGTTATGCGTGCGTTTTAGATTTAAGTCCTAGTTTTAAGTATAATGTAAGATAGAATTAAGATTTAGATTTTAATATTTTAATTGTAATTTATTGTATTCGATGTTAATGATAAGATGTATTTTAGATTTAAGTCCTAGTTTTACGTATAATATAAGAGAGATTTAAGATTTAGATTAAGTTAATTTAAGACTTCATCGATGAACGACGTTAGATATAGTTTTAAGGTATATTTATTATTTTTTGTAAAATATTTTTTTGTAAAATAAAAAATGGGTCTCGATGCGTAGTCACCTCCTCGTAGGTGAGACCCGGTAATTGGCATCGCTTTTCAAATTTCATATTTAACAAAATTTCTTATAGATATTTCATTAGAAATTTTTCGAAATATTTCAAATTATATTTTACTATTAATAGTTTTCTTATTAGTTATTTATTCTTAATAGTTATTTTATCATTAATAGAAAAGCGATGGCAAGCCAAGAACTACGCACACCTTCAGTCTAGTCTAAAATATGAATGCTTTTAACTATTTTAAAATAATCAAAATATAGACTAGACTGAAGGTACTAATAAAATCTGAACAAGCATATTCTGGTTAATCCTTTCTACTCTTCATATTATTTTCTAATTTTCAACAAAATTTTTGTAATTTTATCATTTTCCACTTTTTTTTTAATATGATACCAGAATATCCTTGATACAGATATTAATTAATAAACGAATATTAATTAGATTATTATTATTAAGCGCATTCTGTATCAAGATACTCTCCTCAAGCTTAAAGCGAAAAATAAGATTTTTAATTTTTTGATATCTTTCGTTTTGATTATTTTTCATCTCGAGTTTTTATTTTTATTCCGACGACTCTTCGAATCGTTTCTTATTTTCTTCTTCAATTTCTTCTTATGACTATGTTATGGTTTGTTGTTCTTTTTTGTTTATTTCAAATCACTGTCAATCACGTGTCATGCATCAATGGCAGGAATTGTTGGATTAGTACTTTACTTCCGGTGGTCAATCAAGAGTCCGCGCTCAGATCGATTGGTGCCATCGAGTACTCGATCAGAGTTAGGCCTTGCAGTCGAAAGTTGTCTTGGTTAGCCGGCCCAGGTGGTCGAGGATCTTCCTCGTTCCTTCCTGTGTCGCTGGGACATCTTTTCTTCTCGTTAGGCCGCTGTCGTAACTCTTGATTGACCACGACTGGCAAGTATCGACAATCTGATGACTTTCGTAAGTCCACTGATGTAAGTCGTGACACGAGAATGACAGTGACTTATAGGATATTTCTTTTTCTTAATTTTTTTATTATTTTTATCGATGACGAATGTTATGTTCTTCTTCAATATTTATTCTCTTGTTTCACTCGTCTTCTTTTTGAAAATTACGATTCTTTTTAAATTATATAATAAATGATTATTTTTTCAAATATTCTTTTTTCTCTTTAACCTGATCGAGAGTATCTTTGATACGGAGATTGCAAATAGATTTAAGATTTAGATTCAAATATTTTTTAATACAATTTAATATAATTGATGTAAATGATAAAATGCGTGCGTTATAGATTTAAGTTCTAGTTTTAAGTATAATATAAGATAGATTAAGATTTTAGTATTAAGATATAGTTTTTAATATTTTTATTGTAATTTATTATATTCGATGTAAATGATAAAATGCGTGCGTTTTAGATTTAAGTCCTAGTTTTAAATATAATATAAGATAGATTAAGATTTTAGTATTAAGATTTAGTTTTAATACTTTTATTGTAATTTATTATATTCGATGTAAATGATAAGATGCATGCATCTTAGATTTAGGTCCAATTTTATGTATAATGTAATATAGATTTAAGATTTAGTAATAAGTTCTAGATTAAGTTAATTTAAGATATATGTAATTCATCGATAGACACCGTTGGATATAATTTTAAGAATACTTATATAATTATATATTATGTAATATTTTTTTATTTTATACTTTTTATATTTTTAATGTATTCGCCAATTATATCAATTTTTATTTCTACGTTTAAAATTTAGTTTACACTTTTTAAATTGTACCATTGTAATGTATTAAATAAATAAATTTTGTAAAATAAATTTTTTTTTTCATATTATTTTTTTATTTTTTTGGGTCTCGATGCGTAGTCACCTCCTCGTCGGTGAGACCCGGAAATTGGCATCGCTTTTCATATATTTTATTTAAAAAATATCTTATGAATTTCAAATTTTATTCAAAAATTTTGTGAAATATTTTAGTTTTAAAAATATAAGATATATTTCATGAATAATAATTTTCGAAAAGCGATGGCAAGCCAAGAACTACGCACACCTTCACTCTAGTCTAAAATATGATTGCTTTTAATTATTTTGATTAATTATCAATAGACTAGACTGAAGGTATTAATAAAATCTGAACAAGGATATTTTGATTAATCCTTTTTTCTTTTTATATTATTTTCTAATTTTTAACGAAATTTTAATATCGTTATCATTTTTTTCTCTTTTAAAAGAGACCAAAATATCCTTGATACGGATATTAATTCGTTAGTATTTTTATTATAATTTAATATATTTAAGATAAATTGTAAGATGCCCGTATTTCTAAATTTAAATATTATATAAGATAGATTAAGATTTTAGTATTATGATTTAATTTCTATTATTATAATCTATTATATTCCATGTTAAAGATAAGATGCATGTATCTTAAATTTAGGTCCTAGTTTTAAGTATAATAAATATAGACTTAGAATTTAGTATTAAGATTTAGATTTTAATATTTTTATAATATATTATATGTAATGTAAATAACAAGATTCATGCATCTTAGATTTATATCTTAGTTTTAAACATAATATAGATTATACTATGATGTAACATAGTTTTAAGATTTAGTTTTTAAGATTAATTTTTAAGATTAATATTTTTAAGATTGTTTTTATTGTAATTTATTATACTCCTCGTAACTGATAAGATGCGTGCGTTTTAGATATAAGTCCTAGTTTTAAGTATAATATAAGATAGATTAAGATTTTAGTATTAAGATTTAGTTTTTAATATTTTTATTGTAATTTATTATATCCAATGTAAATAATAAGATGCATGAATCTTAGATTTAGATCCAATTTTTATGTATAATGTAACGTAGATATAAGATTTAGTATTAAGGCTTAGATTAAGTAATTTAAGATTTCAACGATGGACGACGTTGGACAACGTTGGATAACGACAACAACGTGGGATATAGATTTTAATTTCTTTATTGTAATTTATTATATTCTACGTAAGATGCGTGCGTTTTAGATTTAAGTCCTAGTTTTAAGTATAATATAGATAGATTAAGATTTTAGTATTAAGATTTAATTTTTAATATTTTTATTGTAATTTATTATATCCAATGTAAATAATAAGATGCATGAATCTTAGATTTAGATCCAATGTTTATGTATAATGTAAAATAGAGTTAAGATTTAGTAAACTGAATGAAGCTGGACGAAGTTGGACAAAGTTGGGAAAAAATTAGATGATGATGGATCGATAATGGACCGATGATGGATCGATGATAGACCGATGATAGACAGATGATGGATCGATGATGGACCGATGATAGACCGATGATGAACCGATGAGACACCGATGATGAACTGATGATGCATCGGTGATGCATCCATGATAGACCGATGATGAACTGATGATGAACCGATGACGAACCGATAATGAACCGATGATGGATCGATGATAGACCGATGATAGACCGATGAGAGACCGATGATGGATCGATGATGAACCAATGATGAACCAATGATGAACCAATGATGAACCAATGATGCATCGGTGATGCATCCATGATAGACCGATGATGAACTGATGATGAACCGATGATGAACCAATGATGGATCGATGATAGACCGATGATGGATCAATGAGGAACCGATGATGGTTCGATGATGGTTCGATAATAGACCGATGATAGACCAATGATGGATCGATGATGAACCAATGATGAACC